GCTCGAAATTTGATTTGAAACACTCTTATTGTAGCGCCCGGACCGAGGAGGAAAAAAAAAAGTCACGTCGGCAGCCACGTCAGCAGGCCCGGTCAGCAATCCCGGCCAACCGGGACCTGCCACGTGGCAAAACCACGTCGTGCCAAAAAGGGCCACGTTGGCGATCCGCGTGGGCGCGATCGAACGGCCCAGATCAAGCATACGATCGGACGGCCCAGATTAAAACAAAATGGACGGCTGAGATCAAAAGGCAAGGGGTTATAAATAGAACCCCCACACCAGACCACAAACCCTAGCCGCCTGCCACTCGCTGGAGAAGACGAACCAGAAGCCGGCCGCCGCCACCCGCCGCCGCACCGGAGGAACTTCCGACCGCCGATCGAGGTAAATTTCGTACCCCCGACTCGTTTTTCCACGCTGATTCCTCCTGTGGCCAAATCGGAGCCAAAATCCCGGCCAAACGGCCGGAATGCACGGCCGAAGCCCAGCGGCGCCGCCGCGCCCTTCTCGGTTTTTGCCTCCGATGAGACCCTTCCCGGCCTCCGTTTGATGTAATTTTTATATCACCGTGATCACCACTCTTTTCTCTACAGGTTGACCGGAGCCGAATCACCAAAACACGAACCTCGCCGGAGAGCCGCCGCACCCGAGAGCGCCACCGCCGGTAAGCTCCGTTTTTCCGTGATTTTTTGGCCCCCCGAGGGCCCTAGGGTTGTTTTCTCGCAGGGACCGATGCGAGTATGGTCGAATTCGGCCGGAAACGGCCGAAAACAGCCAACCCGAGGCGAATCGCCGTTGCCAGCGGCGGCGCCGTCGCCGGAGCACGGCGGAGTTGCGATTAGGGCCGAAAGTGGCCCTGGGCCTAATTTGGGATTTTTTTGGAACACGTGCAGGTACCAGTAGTGCGTTTCAGTTCCCCGAGAAAAATTCAGGGAAAATTAGGGACAGCCTGCAAGCGCACTGTGAAGCCGTGTTCGGACCCCGAAACGAGTAAGGACCCCTCACCCTATTTCCTATCACGGTTTTAAAGTTCAATAAATGATAAAACGGTATTTCATGAATCAACGAATGTGTGAAATTGCTTAAGGTCGCTAATGGAGCCCGAGTCTAGTGTGTTTGTCGGTTAATTGTTATTTGGCCTGTTTTACAGTTTTAAACATAGCATGAGATTCAATGTTTTCATTTTATAGTTTCGTGTGCATGTTTTACTGTTTTATTGATTATGGATTAAATGACCGGGATATTGATGCTGTATGTTGTCTGCTTAGCATAAATTATCGTTTTGCTTGCTTGTATGTGGATTAATGATGCTGACTGAGGAAAAAGAGAATGAACAATTATGTAAATGGATAATGGTATAATGTGGTCAGTCTGACTAGATATCCTGGGAGATGGTGGACGGACCGGGTCCGTAGGGAACCCTACCGGGATTGTGGTCTCCCATACCGAACGGGGTATGGAGATCTTATGTGTTTTAGCGCCCATACCGGACAGGGTATGGGGACGGCCCGTTTCACCCTCATACCGGACGGGGTAATGAGGTCTATGGTTTGGCGCCCATACCGGACGGGGTATGGAGACGGCCCTGGAATTTGATTTCAAGTGTTAAGGATTAACGGGTAGCGGGACCCCTATGGATCCCCATGGATACTAGTGGGCTGGTGAATTAGGAAAATATGTTGTGTAACGATTGAATTACGAAAAGTGTGATAGGTATTATGTTATACAGTTCATATATATGTTTCCATGATGATGATGATGTTATTGCTTTCGTATATTGTTTTATGAATTTCACCGAGGTAAGTAAATGGTAAAGGTTTTATTTATCGATAAAAGGATTTGTTGTAAATTATGCTCTATTGGTTGTTTTGTGTTTTCTACCCACCTTTACCTCCGTGACGGTGAGATATCGTGATGTCTTTACTGGGCTAGTGTAGCTCATTCCTTATTTAATCATTTCAGATCAAGAGGACATCGTTCCCGAGCCGATTCCGCAGGAGGACGACGAAGGGGACGCCTAAAGACTCCATAGTCACATTCGTTGTTTTTACTTTCAAGTTTCTCCTTTAGGTAGTTTAATCTTTTATATTTTGTGAGCACGTTTTCGGTTTCAGTGTAAGGGATGTTATTCAAATTTTGACATCGCTTCCGCATTTGATATTTTTGAATATAAAATTCCATTTTAAATTTCCGGGGCTGCTACACTTATGCCCAAATCGGGGCAAAAGAAATGACGAATGAGTCAGAAACTGTGGGTAAAGTTCGAAGTATCGCTACGGGCAAAACACAAAATGGCCTCTGATGAGCCTCTTCTCGTTTTTCATTTCCCGTTTCGTGTAATTTTTTTATCATTGTGTTCACCGTTCTGTTTTCTATAGGTTGATCGAAAAAAAATGTCTAACCGCGAAGGTAAGCTAGTGGAGTTGCTACACTAAAAAATTCAGCCGCCGAGGCCTTCTAACATGTTTTCTCACAGAGATATGTATAAAATCGACTGAAACCGACCAAAACTAACCGAAAGCGGCTAGGTTGAGGCAACCGCCGCCGCGGGCAGTGGTGCTACAGTGCCAGAATTCCGAAATTGACTAAAAAATATTTTTAACACCGATTTTAAATTTTTTAGAGTATTTTTAGATACGTGAAATGTGTTTTAATATCTGTAGAAAAATTCAGAAAACTCAGGGATCGCCAGTAGGTGCAGTAGAAAGTTTGGTATTTTTCACACCGATTCGGGTAAGAATCCTTCACCTTATTCCCTATTATGGAATTGAAGTTTAATTATCAATAATACGATATTTTGCATAATTTAAAAAAAATAGAATTAATTAAAAATTACTAATGAAGTCAGAACCAGTTATTTATTATTGTTTGTCCTGTTTAACCGATTGTTTGATTTTACAACTTTAAATGCATGATAATATACTAGAATTGGTAAAATGATTCAGTTGTATTTCCTTGATGCATATATTATTTGTCTTATGTTTATTTACGGTTAAATTTTGAAACTGAAAATTAAATATAAACAAAAAATTGATTGGTTAAATGAATGAATGAATGGTAGTATTACTAGATATCTTGGAAGATGGTGGACAGACCGGGTATATAGAAAACCCTACCGTAAACGTCGTCTCATACCAAATGAGATATCGATAATTGGTATTTTTGGTGCTCATATCGGACGGGGTATGAGGACGACTCGTTTCACCCTCATACTAAACGAGGTATTGAATGATGGTATTTTTGGTGCTCATACCGGACGGGATATGAGGACAGCCCGTTTCACTCTCATACTGAATAAGGTATTGAAGGATGATATTCTCGGTACTCATATCGGGTAGGGTATGGGAACGGCCGGTTAGTTGACAATGTTGAATAATAGTTCACGCGTAGACATCCCTATGGGCCTCTAAGGATACCAGTAGGCAAATAAAGAGGGAAAGTTATTATTTTTGCTCTCTTGAATATGAGGTTGTAATGTTATTTGAGTTGTTATCTTTGTAGGTCGATTTTGAAAATTTCGTAACAGTAAATATATGTGATATATTGGTTTTCCTTATGATAAATGAACTTACTTAAATCAAGATCTCAATTGGTTATTTTTATAATTTTTACCAATCTTCAGTTTATTATCTTTATAGGTCGATTTTGGAAATCTCGTAACGGTAAATATATGTAATATATTAGTTTTCCTTATGATAAATGAATTTACTTAAATTAAGAGCTCAATTAGTTGTTTTTATGATTTTTACCAATCTTCAGTTTCTATATCGGTGAGTTGCGCGATATTCTTACTGAGTTAGTGTACCTCACCATTTCATTAACTATTTTAGATCAAAATGACTAAAACCCAGATCTCGATCAACAAGAGAATTGTAAATAATTCACCACCCGAACTTTCTTTAAAAGCTAGTGAATGTTGTCTTATAATACTCAACATATTGCTTTTTATTTATTATTTCCTTGATTTTATTTATTTTTTTAGAATAGATCATTCTTGTGATCCTATTGGGTATTCTAAATTATTGTGTAAGGAATGTAAAATTCTAAACTCTATTATTTCGCTTCCGCATTTAATTCATAACTTTATTTTCTTTTAAATTTTGGGTATTTACATCACAAGCATTGACAATAACGTGACTGAAGTCTAACTATTTTTTTTCAGTTGCTTCTGCTAATGAAATTATGGTTCAATTGAAAATGACCCTTGAAAATACAAGAGTAATCATAGGAAAGTTAATGAGAGCGAATAGGAAGAATCACACCAATAAGATTGCAATGAGGAAGAAAATGTGAAATTTGAGAATTTAGGATTCTAGGGTTTGAATTAGTGAATTGGTTTAGTTTTTTTTTTTACTTGAATCGATTTTTTAATTAAACCAATTAAAATGTAGTATATGACGTAACCGACAACCTACTCAAAATGTGGTAATGATCAATGACTAAAATATTTTTTTTTTCGAAATATAGAACCAAAATAATAAAAAATAAATAAATAAAAAGACTAATTTTAATATTTTAAAATAGTACCGAAGTCAAGTTAAAACTTCATCATATTACATAAACAAAAACTTAAAACGGAAAGAACCCGATGATTATTCATCATGCAATCAACAACATCACTATTTTGTTAAACCAATTTTTTTTTTTCCTTCAGATAAACTGTCACTTTAATTATATATTCTCTCATTGGTTACTGCATTCATAATCTCTAACAAAATCAAATTTATTGAATCTACTCCTATCATAATTAATTGGGCAAAATGGATTCATATGGTAGAAGTTACAAAACTAGAAAGGTATTTGAGAATGGTGGATCAAAGTGAGATGTGTTGGATATTCAACATGCTAAAGAACTTTCATAGGGAAGAGAGAACAAAATTAAATATTTAGAATTAAAGTGTAACGTTCACAGTAATGGGAGAACTAAATTAAATATTTATTCTTAATTATATGATTATTTTTTTTTTACTTATCGGGTATAAATCTTGTATATGAAGATAACCATTTCTGTAATACAAGCAGCTAAGAATCTTGGTTTACAGTGTTTTCAGTCCACAGTTTTTGAGTTTTCAGTCTCCATCTCTGGGTTTTACTCGAACAAAGAGGAGGAGGAATTTTTAAACTCTTCTCGGTGTCAAACACCCAATTCCTCATTTCTCACTCTCTTCAATGGCTACCCTCCCTTGCTCTACGCGCTACCCAATTTCTCTCACACAGGCAATGATGGCATCTTCTGTGAAAGCGACTGTTATTCCTGGTGTTCGGGGATTTGGGTCTTTTCCGAAATTCAAAGGGTTGAGGATCCGATACCCTTTGAAGTCATCGCTGTCTTCTTTGAGGTCGAGGAATCCTAGGGTTTGCAGACAACGAGGAGGCATTGTCTGTGAAGCTCAGGAGGTTGCTCTTGATAGTATGTCCTTCCTCCCTTTCTATCAACTCAATTTTCTCTATTCTTTAATTTCTCTTTCTCATTTATTTGATAGTTATGTTGGTTCTATCTCCTATTTTCTGTTTGTTTCCATTGCAAAAAACAAAAACAAAAAAAAGGATAAAGTGTTGTTGGGTTCAAAATAGTGAAATATATTACATGGGATATGCTCCAAAAGGGATGACCCTGAATTTGTTTTGAGTTGTGAATAAATGCAGGATGCTGCTAGTGTAGGTGAACAATTTAACTATGAAGATTGTGCGTAGTACTGGAACTATTGCTTTGGGAAGGAGAGGGGATAGAGAAGGCTTGTCTCTGTCTTTGTTTTTGATCCTTCTGTATATTTTATACTTTATGGAGGTAAATGTCTGGAGCTATATTGAAATGCAGCTGAAAGTTGGAGTTCACATGGACAGGATGATTCTCTATTTTCCTTGTCATTAGTCATAATGTGTATTCTCTGGGTGCAGGTTTTGTTCTTATTCTTCTTTCACAGATTGGAAGTTAGGTTATTGGGAGGTTAGCAAAGAACTAGGCACCAAGTTTAATTAAGAATAGTATGATTCTTATCTGAAAAAATGCACCTAGTACATTGTGGTCTCCGTAATTCTCTTCACGTTTTAACCTGCATAAAATTTGAAATTATGCCATGCCAAATTTTCTTATCTATTGATTTGGTTATTCCTCCTATATTGTTAGATTAAGATATACATGGTGTGGTATGGATCCATGGAATTATGTCAGCCTTAAGGAGGAAAAGAAAGAATTGTTAATGCAGCTTGGTTGGATGTTTTCGCTCAAGCTGGGTTTTGATTTGGTTCAGTCAACTAGTCCATCAGAGTTCAGCCCCTTTTTGTGTTTAGTGACATCAAGCTTGTCGGCTAACTCTAAGGCAGTACCCCTCCTATGTAAGAATAGTGCAAAATTATTTCCCAATAAATGGTAGTGATGAGAACTTATTCCCATTCTTTCCTTGTCACCATGTATTTCAAAAACTAAGGTACTTCTGGCAGATTAAATTGTTCTTTCCCAATGCTAATAGAAAGACACATGCTATTGACTTCTATTGCCTCTTCAATGTCGGATCATTTGCGAATGATAGTTAAGATTTAGGTTTGGCTTGTTCTGTTTGTGATTGGAGAGGAATGATTTTTTAGAGAAGTACACCTGATTTAGCTAGAGGTATTGAGAAAATTTCAATAAGATTCAATTTGTTTGGGCTTGTTGCTGGTTTCAGTTTAAGTTAAGTTTCAGTGTAAAAGAAACCCTCCAACTTCTCCACTCAACTTCATTATAATTTTTTTAGTCTCATGACTAGTCATTCTAGAGTGAAGAAACATTAGCTTTAGATATAAACAAGAGAATAAGCCCAAGCAAACATTAGTTGATAGCAGTTCCCAGCTAAGCTTCTAGGGTGAGCGGTTATTTCTGGGACTCCTCCCTATCGCTTTTGTGTAAGCTGACGCCAGCATCTGAGAATCAGTAAGATCTAAGCTCTGTCCAGCATCTGAGGTAGTGGAGCAAGAAGATAGTAGATATTTTTTTAATCGAAACTTTGGGATCTAAACCAAGGTTGTTATCCTATTGATCATCTCTTGACCTCTCCCGAGGAGGAGGCTCAGGTTCAAGCACTGCAGGCTACAGACCTGCTTTACAAAGAAAAAGCGTGGTACCTCTTCTGGTAGTTTATTTCATGATCTCATCTCCAATTCAACTAAATGCAGTTGGATGAAACCAGTTGCAATTTAATTGAAATCTGTAGAACTTATGATCATAGATATCATGCTACTGAAGGTATTCGGTTGCATGCAAAGAATGAGAATTCTTTCCATTCTTTATCTGGCCCTTCTTTTTAGAGCCTATAACCCATATTGGTGTAGCAAGGGATGTTAAAGCTGTTCTACTTTGCCTACTTGGCAATCCTTCTTTACCTATGAGGAAGATGTACTTGATTATTCTGTATAAGAATGATTATTGATGTGGTTAAATATCTTTTGTGCTCATGGAAAGTTGTCTTCTGTCAAATTAGAAGCCTAATTTTTTTCTGCATAGCCATTTGTGTAAGTATGATGGCAGATTTGTCGGAAGCAACTGAACCATTATCTTGCTGTCCTCATGCATGAACCCTAAACCCTAAACCCTAAACCATTATCTTGCTTTAAGGGATAACAATTAGAAAATAATGTTTTAATACAGATAAAGTTGCTTTCTAAAATTGGGGGCCAATAGTTGGTTGTTTGATTGATGTGGTGGTTCTGGAACTCAAATGTATCCGTAGATTGCTTCAGCGGGTTTTTCACATCTAGAATGCACAGGGTTAGAAATAGAAGCTGGTTAGATAAAGGGTGGTGGAAACAGAGCTTTCTTCATTTAGAATCTTTCAGTTAATTTTTAGATTTCTCTTCTAGATAAGTTATATGCCTTCTCTTGATCTTTTAGTAACACAGAGCAGTGCCCTATATTAAACTTAGAATATTGGATTTCCTGTGAGCTTGCTTAGACTTGAAGGGTGTAGAAGACTGAAGTCTGATTTTGGAGTTGATGAAGTGGGATAATACCAGAGGAGAGTGTCTCAGGTACTTATATGATTCTCTATCCCATGCTTCGAACATAGAGAATGTTTTTGTTTTCCTCTTCCATGTAACTTGTTTACCTCAAGTCAATTGCATTTCAGACAATGTAGAATTTGATAACCTCTTTGCCTCAGCTTATTATGTAAACTGGTCAATGTCACATGAGCACCATAAAAATAAATCTGATGGGACCATGGCATGATTGCACTAATTCTACCAAATTAAGTTATGATATCTTACATAGTGGTCAGTGGATGATTATAGATCCTTCTAAGAAGGAAAAAGGAGAGGATAATAGATCATCCTTGGTGCCCTTGTTGTAATATTTCTTTTCCTTCTCAAAAATAAAAATTTGCTATCCAATCTCTTTGCAAAACAGCTGAAGCAAAACCCTGAAAAAATTGCTCCTTTCCGGAGCATTAAACTCTCCTTTCAATAAGCCTTAGATAGAATAAGAAATAAGGGACTTCAAGAATAGGAGAAGGGCCCATTGCACACCAAAAATGTCAAACGACCTAAACCTTGGCTAAACATTGTTCTGTTTGGGATGTGATGCACCATCTATGCCGTTAGGCCTTAGGTATAGGAAATAGGGAAGGTTTTTTTCAATGTTTTAACAACCACTCTTAATTAAGATCATCTGTTGGAAAAGATATTTCAGAGTGGGTCAAGGTTTAAATTTTTGCATGGAGGTATATGAAAATGAAATATGGGAATCTTTTAACAGGTTAGCAATTAGTGTTGTTCATGGTCCTTTGCTTTTACAATCATATTTCAGTTGGGGAGTCAATCAATATTTGAAGTTTTTGGATGGACTATTTGTTTGAAAGTAAAACAAAGAACTTGTTGAAGTAGAAAGGGTCCAAAAAGGTATTTTGTCCTGCTTTTGACCAATCAAGTTCTGGATGATTTTTCTTCTGGATCTAGAAAGAGTTTAAAATATTAGGTTGAAAATTCAAGAGGTCTTGTAATGAGATCTAGTAATCTGTAAGAGGTAACGACTTTTTGCCTTAAATTTTTTATTTTGATGATTACTTGTATTGCTTTAACTTTATATTTAATTTTTAGATGGTTTAGAATCTGTCTTTTGAACTTCCTGTTGGAACTAAAGAAGAGCGAAAAAATGAGAATAAACACAGGAGAAAGGAGAAGAACATTAGATATTGATATGATTTTCTGATCTGAATTTTCAGCCAACTGGTTTGCCTTTAAATAGATAAATTACATAAAACAATAGATACAAATTCCTACTTTTCGTCATCTTCGATAATAGTTACAATCTCTATAGGTGAAGTTTATTATTTATCATCTTCCTAAAGATAGATAAAATCTCTATAAACGAGATTCATCACTTATCTGTTTGTTGGAGAATATATAATTTAAATTAACTGAAATTTTGATAAAAAATAAATGTTAAATTTATTTAACACTTCCAGACAAGTGAATCATGTATGATGTATAATTTTCAGTGACTTGGATTTTTCCTGTAGCAATCTCACATCCTACAGAAAAATGTGGGGAGGGTATTCTTTCCCTTCTCTAACTACACTCAATACTGGGTTGATTGATGAATGCGTTAGTATCGTATAATTTGCTGAAGTTGCGAGATTCACCACATGGTATAAATTAAAACTAACATATGTCATTCCGTTGTTGTTTTCTTTTTTTTTTCTACTTTTGCAGTTCCGAATGTTGATGATTCAACGTGGCAATCACTAGTTCTTGATGCTGATGGCCCTGTGCTAGTCGAGTTCTGGGCTCCTTGGTGTGGACCTTGCCGTGTGATCCTCCCAGACGTAGCTGAACTAGGAAAGCAATACGCTGGAAAACTGAAGTGCTACAAATTGAATACCGACGAAAGCCCATCAATCGCAACCCAATATGGGATCCGGAGCATCCCAACTATCATGATATTCATCAAGGGCGAGAAGAAAGATACGATTATTGGCGCTGTTGGGAAAGCTACACTCGCTGCGAGCATCGAGAAATTCCTGTAGATGACAGTAGATTTCTTTCCAATATATTATCAAGTCCATGTTCTTCTTCTCCTCCTATTTCCTTTACATTGTATGTTCATAAGTGATGTTGACATACTTCAGCCTCTCCAACAATAAAAATGTTAGCTTTTGGCAGGCCTAATGAGTTGTTCTGTAATTCTTTTTCAAATGTGTGATTCCAAAGTTTGACTCCCAGACTGAACAATCTTCTTCTCCAACCTAACAAAATTTTACCTTTCTAACATTTTTTTTCAAATCTACAGTTTTTGAAATTGATACAATGAAAGAAATTATTTTGACTTCGAATCTTGCTTGTACCGAGAAAATTTCTTCTCATCTCGAACTTTTAATCATACGGGTATGATAAAATAATATAATCTACAAATGTTAATTTCAGTTATTTGAGAAATGTATCTTCTATTATTTAACTGAATGATTGATGTTTTTTCTTTTACGTGTAAAGTCTTAGTTTCGAATCGAAACTCTTATTATATATTATATGTTGTATTATAATTAATATATTAATATTTTTTAATTAATAAATATTTGAATTTATTTATAACATGATCTTGATGGATGTCAATCAGGTCATTAAGAATGGAAATCATTAACTACATGATTCCTAAACCTATACATACATAGATATATAGATATGAATTAGTGATTACTATGATAATGATTGTCTAACTAAGGGACAATAGTAATCTTAAGTAGTGTTAAAATTAATCTAATAATTTGAAGTTAATTATAAAATATAATTTTGATATTGCTGCTTAACTAAGTATATTCATAGAACTAAGCCAACCTAATTAATTAAAGATTAAGATGAACTTTACCTTAATCTTGTATCTTAATCTTGTGGGAACTTTAATTTTATCTTAAACCATATCAAAAACTCAATTGTAAAATATATTTTACTAATAAATAATAAAATAATTTTAATTTATGGAAGAAATTAAAATAAATTAAGAAAAGGGAGGAAAGTATTAATAATTTATTTTATTAAAGTGGTTTAATAAAAAATTAAATTATCATTATATATATATATAAGATAATATTTCTGGATATATGGCTTGTCAGCTTTCAGGTGTAGCGGTGCCTCATTGTCCACTATGATTCGCCAGGCGCCGCCCAATGAATGCTTGCCACGTCATCTCCTCTTATTGATAATTTTCATAATTTTATAATTCAATATATTGTAAATTATTAGAATTGTTTAATTACACATTTTTTATTGATAATATAATAAAATTTTAATTTTATAAATTTTTGATAATTTAAATTTTAATATTTATTATATAGATAATATTTTAAAATTTTTATTATATATAGAAAAATAATATATATATATGTGTGTGTGTGTGCGTGTGTTATATCATTTCACATGGATGGTCCAAATAGGTGTTAAGGAGAAAAATATAATTAAATAATTTAAGCGGGTGTAATGGCAAAATCTTTGTCATGGTATTAATGGGGAGAGAGAAGAAGGGAAAAATTAGGGTAGGCTACGGGATAGGGGAGAGAGAAATTGTGACGTCTCCACTAACTCCCGCAAATATTCTCATTCTACCCTTTTCTTTTTCTTCCTCATATCGCAATACATACATATATATATATATATATTTGTATATAGTATATCATCTATGTATGAGTGATGATGGTATATGTAGAAAGATTTATGTGGCAACAATGTGAAGAACTTGTGTTAGTTATGAATATTAAGTAATGTATCGTTCTAAAATTTAGTTGAGATTAATTTTAAAATTTAAAAATATATGTATAAAAATATAATTTTTAAATTATAAATTTTTATTTAATTTAAAATTAAGAAAAAATAAGTAGAGAATGAAATTAAAAATAATTTTAGAAAAAATAGGTAAAAATTTAGATTCGGAAAGTATTTTTGAAAGAAAAAGTACACTGACTCGATGCCACGCGGGAGACCACACTGGCAATCCTCGTGTCTGTGATCGGACGGCTTAGATGCGTTTCCGCGCGTATGGACGGTCCGGATCCATTCCCTCCTCAGATCCGATCGGACAGTCGCGATTTAACGCGATGAACGGTCCAGATTCGTTCTCTCTTTAAATACGATCGTACAGTCGAGATCAAATCACGATAAACGGTCCAGATTCATTTTCTCTTTAAATGTAATTAGACGGTCGAGATTAAATGCGATGAATAGTACAGATTTAAGAAAAACGGGTATAAATATCTCGCATCACACCAAATCCAAACCCTATCTGCCAGCCCCCCGCCGGAGAAGAAAAACTAATCATTAGAGAAAGGAGCCGATTGTTGCCCACCGCCGCACTGGAACCACCTCCAACTGCAAAAAAAGATAAAAAAAAATTCTCCTATACGCTCGAAATTTAATTCCAAACACTTCCATGACCAAATCGGAGCCAAAAGAATGGTGGATGAGCCGAAAATCGCGGACAAAGTCTGAAGGCGTCGTTGCGGGCAAAACCCAAAATCGCCTCCAATGAGCCCATTCCTGTTTTCCATTTCGTGCGATTTTTCTATAATTGTGTTCTGTTTTCTACAGATTGATCGAAGAAAAATATCTAGCCACGAAGGTGGTAAAGCCTCTGCACCGAAAAATTTCACCACCGGTAGGTTTTTTTTTTGTTTTATTTTTTTCGACAAACTAAGACCCCATAACATGTTTTCTCAAATGGATGGATATAAAATCGGCCGAATCGGCAAAAACTAGCCGAAAAATGGCCAGACCGAGGTAAACCACCGTGGGCGACGGTGCCACCATGCCGAAATTTTGAAATTGGCCGGCAAAAAAAAAATTTAACACCGATTTTGAATTTTTTGGGGTATTTTTAGGTATGTAAAGTGTGTTTTAATCTCCGCAAGAAAATTCAGGAATTCTAGGGACCGCCAGTAGGCGTAGTAGAAAGTTTGGTATTTCGGACTCTGATTCGGGTAAGAATCTCTCACTTTATTCTTTGTTATAGAATTAAATTTTAATAATCGGTAATATGGCATTTTGTGTAATTTTAAAAACTTTGAGAATAATTACAGATTACCAATGGAGTCGGAAATCGATTAGTCATTTATTTATTGTTCTGTTTAACTGATTGTTGAATTTACAACTTTAAATACATAAATGATATACTGGAATGGTTGAATGATTCAGTTGTACTTTTTTGATATATATTGCTTGTCTTGCATGATTCACAGTTGAATTATAAAATTAAAAATTAATATGTAAAGAAAAAAAATGATTGGTCACGTGAATTTATGAATGATAGTATTACTGGGTATCTTAAGAGATGTTGGACGGACCGAGTACATAGAAAATTCTACCGTGAACGTTACCTCATACCGAACGAGATATCGAGAAATGGTATTTTTAGTGTTCATATTGGACGGAGTATGGGGACGGCCTGATTCACCCTCATACCGGATAGGA